ACTCAAAAAAAAGTTGATTCCTATAAAGTAATTAAGGGATTATATCCAGGCACATAAAATCATGAAATGTTTACACTATAATACTGCTCAAAATACACTGAATTTTGTCTATTATTTCACACAAACTATTCATTGCATTTAATTTACTCTTCATTTCAATCAACGAAACACTTATTAATTGTGAAAACATTTCGTTTGTTTTGTGCATTTCAATCAACAAACCACTCATTTATTTTGTATATTTTGTGAAAAAATCTTAAAATGGCTGCCACGGGGGCGCTGCAAACGTTATGGGCGTGTATTATATCTTTTCGGAACCCCCTTTAGAAGGGGTTTCATAATTTCAATACAGTCAGACTTTTATGCTGTCAACCTTCTATGCTGTCAACTTTTCTATGTTGTCAACCAAATCCCAAAACTCAAATACACATCTCATAGACATAAGGTTAAAATAGTCTCTATGCTGTCAACTTCTATGTTGTTAACTAATCTATGATATCAACACATTTTGACCCAAAATTGTAGCATTTCTATGTATAACAACTTCTGTCCTGTCAACCCATACGCAAACTCAATATACATTATGATCACAGATGTATTTCTCTTAATTATATATAAACTCATTTAATGATAATTTGAATGAAATGCAAAACAAAGTATTTGATACAACTTTTAAACAATCTAAAATAACAGATTATTTCTCTAAACAGTAAATAACTTGTAATTTTCTATCAATAAATGAATTTCAATGCAATTTCTATGTTGTCAACTAATCTATGTTATCAACCAAATGCCCTGGAACCGTTTTGTTGATAACATAGAAGTCTGACTGTATAACTCTTTGATGCCAGTGTGGCCCAAAGTCTATGGATTCTAAAGATCCTTCTATATTTATGAGTGATCAATGTAGCAAAATTCCTAAGCTTGGTAATAGCAAATATGATGGAAAATCTCTTTTATATCCAATAACATGAACGTAATGTCAATCTGTTATTTGCTTTTGATGATTGAGTTGTCCGATGCCCTCAAGACATCCAATACAATGCCTGATTTATCTCATTTACGGAGAGTTTGATTTATCAACAAATTATTTACTAACAAAGAACCAAATGGTTTAACAATATTATAATATTGCGACAGCTCTGGGGTTTGAACGCATATTTCTATATAGTTTATGACAATGTTTTACAAATAAAATTCTAATCATATCCTTTAGCTGTTGCTCGAAGTCTGTGATTCACAGATCTAATTAAGTTTTGCCTAAACTCTCAATATATTATTTCATACTTGAATACATCTTTATATCAAATAACTTTATTGAGAGCTCACTTTAGTCTTAATACTTATCCAATCGGTCTTTAATACAGCGATAATTGTGTGCCAATACTTAGGGTGTATTAAAAACACTATCTAAACTAAGATATACATGTATGTTATAACTTATGTGATTATGTGTTAAAACTAGCGCTCAATCCTATGATTGCAATTTGTTTTTTAAGTTATAGAAATTCTGTCACCAGAATATTTATGTTTTATAAATATGAACAACAGTTTGCAGTTGTTTTTAAAATCCATGGCTTAGTTTTCAGATTTTTTACCACAAAAAACAACTAATATTTTATTGATTAATTTATTTTATATATAGATTATATAAGTTTAGCAGAAAAATCATACGGAAAAATATCCACTCAATCTGGAGAGGGATTGCAATCAAAGCAAATACAATACAATAGAGTTTTGTATAGTAATAATACTATTTGAGTAGAAGTACTCATTATTGAGTATACGATCGCATAGACAGACAGACAGTACTCGACAATCAATTGACTGCTTTTACTCGACCCGTAATATTGCGGAAAAATAGACAGTACTTATCGACTAAATGGTAAATATATATAAATTTCTATATATTGCAGACTAACAATCAAATCGATGTGTCCAATGGATTTGCATCACTTCCCTATGGATAAGCAAAGGCCAGTACTTCACGAAAAGACACTTTATTTTGTGTTATATTCTTCTAAAACAATACATAATTTAAAGGAAAAAAGTACTGACTATGACTTTATTTCCCCTTCAGTTGTCCACTTATATTCGGCAGCTGTGAGTAGAACTCAAAATAATAAAACTTTTCTCTTTACGAATAATCTTTACAGAAATATCTGTCAATATTTGTTGCAATAAAATCACTTTTGTTTTCACTTTTTTTCACTCATCACTTTGTTTTATCTCTCAATCAATTCATAGACAGCTATCCAATCGATCAGATTATGTACAGTTGGGATAAGAGTCCGGTCAGTTTTGGTGAACTATCAATGTCTCAGTTTGATTTAGTCACCACTCCTCACAGGAACGGAACCGTTAAATTTCAAAGAGGTTTGTGTCCACACAAATTATTGATAAATTATTATATACTAATATTTGCAAATAAAATTAACTTCACTCTTGTGTCACATGGTTTTAGGCAATTATTCAATGCTCCAGCTCAATTTTAATTTGCGCCGGCATGTGGGCTATTTTCTAATCCAGATATACGTTCCCTGTTCTCTCATTGTGGTTCTGTCGTGGGTCTCATTCTGGATAAATAGGTTTACATTTATAGTTTTATTTATGATATAAGCTATTAAATCACAATTCATATTAATTGAGTCTATTGTATGACCGCATAGGGAGGCGACTGCAGGTATACAATAATTATACACTAAACTACTGTCAAATATTGAATGAATTATTAAAATATCAATTATTTCATATAATTCTTGCCAAAAAATAAAGATCGTGTTGGTTTAGGTGAGTCAACCCATCCATCATCTCTATTATTTCTTTTCAGGCTTTGTGTTCAAATGACTTGTGTTTTGCACTGTTTTTTCCTATTATTGTCATTATTTTCAATTTAATTTAAATTTTGTTAAATAAGTTTTTATTTAATTTGTTTAAAAAATATTTTGTAAATCAAACTCACGGATGATTTTAAATAAAGCAAACAGTTATGGAAAATTTGTTGTAAACATGTAACTTTAATATATTTTTCAAGAAATAATAAATTATACGCTCTTATATACAGTAGTAAATGAAATAATAAGTAAAATGGGATCTAATAATAAATAAAGTATGTATTCACAGAATAAATTCTCATTATTTATATCTGATTTTTAAGTCAGAATTGCATTTATTGATTATTTTCAAATAATTGTAAGAATACTTGAAAAGTCTATTTCTTATAAATGATCTGAAAATGGATTGAAAATATAAATATTTATTATATACTCATTTAAATGGGATTTTTATGATAGGACTAGAAATAAGTCACAATATTCTGCAAATTGAAATACTGTATATTTTAAGCTTATTATTTGATTTTTACTTTAAATAAAATTCTTTTATAATTTAATTTCGCGAAACATTTTTCTCATACAAGTATAAGACAAAAATGACAGAAAATCTTGTATTTCAACAAATATTCACAATATTAACAAATAAATTGTGAACCAATTCTTAGATTTCACATTTATTTGCTTTATTTTTTATCATTCTTTACTTTGCTATCAAATAATACTTGCAATAATGGATTGGTTTCTTTGTGTCAAAATAAAAACTTTTATTTAACTCAATGATTAGAAAATAAAACTTTTTCATTAGGCGTTACAGCGGTTTTGACTCTTTCGACGTTTGGATTGGACTCGAGAAGTGATTTGCCACGAGTTAGGTATGGATTGCATGTGAAAAACACACAAAACAATTACAATCGATGTGAACACCACTTGAAGACGACTCATTTAAACCAACTTTTTGTTATACATTTCAAAGCTATGCGACGGCATTGGATTGGTTCACAATAATGTGCTTTCTATTCGTTGTGTTCACACTATTAGAGTTCGCTGGCGTCCACTTCTTCACGAAAGTGGGAACCGGTATGTGATATGATATATAACGGTGTGTGAAATGTGTAGACAAAAATCTGGTTTCAATCAAAATGTGTATTGATTTGTATTTATAAGGAGAGGTGCCGTTCGTGGAGAGGATGGATGAGGATTGGGCTCAAGACCAGTACGAAGACACAGACAATGACAATCCGCTCCACATTATAGCCCCACCGAAAGCTTATCAAACCGATGAGAGAAAGGTTATTGTATTCAATCATTCAATTTCTAGTTTTGCCATTAATAATAACTTTTTTCCTCTCCATATTTTTATTATGGGTTAACTTCTATTGAAAATATATCTCTCCTTTCATACACTTTTCGCACAAAAGACTTTTTTATATCCCATTCCTGTGACCACACAATCGCGTGACTGCTCTTCATATGCTGTACAGTATATCTGAGTCCACTATTTTGGCTGCAAATGAGAGCCTTTTGCACGTTATATAATGAATAGAAAAAGCAATTAATACTGAAAAACCAAAATTACTTTATATTTAATTGATGGACCATTTTTATAACAAACATATTCAGTGGTGGATATAATTGAGTTTACATTATAATAGTTTATGTGACACAAACCTTTCCCACACATTCACATATTCCGGGTCTTTCACTGCCGTATTGTTATATTCTTGTTATATATTATTTCTATTACTACTTCTTACTTTACAATTATAATTGTAATTAATTCTCGCTTTTGATGCAAATCTACAGAATTGTTGCTTTTATTTATTAAATTCTTAGAGTTGTTTGAATTAAAAATTCTTGTCTCACAATAGAAATCAGTGAATCGTATGAAGGATTATAAGTCTTAGGAAATGAAACATTAACTCAAAATACATCTGTATATGAAAGACAAGAAACAGATTATTAAAAATTCAGTACAAGTCTGACAATTCATTCAGTGATTATTCTGTTGCCAAACATTTCATTTAAACATTGCATCGAAACTATGTGTTCACTCTTTAAGGCATTTTCTCCACAAGAAGTAAATCTTAAATAATGAAAAACTAAAGTCAATATTTGAGTACAACTTTTTTCTGTCATTAATTAATTTTTGAGTTCATTTAAACAAAACGTAACTTTTATTCCATCAAATCCTATACAGTATTATTACAACAAATAAGTCTATAAATAAGTCATTTGATAATAAAATAGATAATATCTCTAATAAATAACTGTTTGAAACAAATAATAAACTTTAAAACTGTACTTAAAAACTAAGAAAACAATAATAATTACAAATTAATAGTCTATTTAACAATAAATACAGTTTAAAACAACAATAAAATAGTGAAGAAAAATAGTTTCGATAAATACATACAATTGAAACAAATTATCACAAGAAAAACAATAGGAAAACATATATACAGAGAAAGCGGTATTTAAGCGATTGTCAAACAATGAGTGACTGAACCGTTTCATTAACATTGAAAATGATTAGTGACTGAATTGACTGAATTGTGAGACATCGGTCTCCGGAGACATACCAAACGCTTTGTGCAAATTGTTGTTGAAAATCAATTCGTGTGAATAATAACTAAAACAATCGGCGCTTTGACTTAAAACCGGGGTTTTTGAGGGCACCGGCGATCCGGCGCTCATTTTGGACGTCTTGTACCGACGGTACGCTCTCGGCTTGGCTTTGGTCTGACCGGTAGTAGTGGTCGATGTCTTGTTGCCATCCTTTGCCAATTGTTTCAACGCTTTTTGCATACATTTGTCACTCAATTGTTCGCAGTTTTCGTCATTACTATTGACAGACTTAACCGAATATCGTCGGTAAACCATTGGCAGCCAATTCTGGTGATCGCGTCGGAAGAACTCGTTCTTGAATTCGTGGATCTCCTGCTCTTCGGGTCGGTTCGTGTCGAGCGTTCGCAACACTGAACCCGTGTTTGGCTTTCGTTTGCAATTTTTGCTGATTTTATAAAATCCGTATAAATTTAATTGTCTCACAAATGAACACACGTTTCGGGTCTTAAAGTGTTGACAACTATTGAGATATTGTTTTTGAAACAAATGGTAATCGATTTGAATGGAGTCGCCGTTCGGTGACCACCGGATGGCATCCGAAGTGCATTCGCCCACCAATTGCCACAACTTGTCGGGAAAGCGCACGTTATTGACGGCCGACCGCTCTTTGGCGCGACGGACGCCGCTCTTCGGCCGCGTCTTCGTGTGGTCGACGGCTCCGACGGGCCATAACTGCGCGCAATCGCCCGATCCGTCCCATCGCTGACCCATCGCGTCGTCGGCCGTCGCGTCGATCGGCTGTAACACCGGATACGAGTCCAAGTCGTCCATCGACTCCATCCACGACCGCATCGATGGCCACAACGAGTCGGCGGCTGTCGTGGCGAAGGAGTCGCCGATCGGTGTCCGGTCGGGTCTGTCGGCGATGAGTGGCGGCAGTGACTGCTCGAAGACATCGCACCTCCAGATCGTTGGCCTGTTGTGAGCGATGTCTTCAAACGGGTTGTAATTAATGACCAAATGATCGCTCATTTCGTCCATTCCTGACAGCTATTGTCTCAATCGATGGCACAAAACATTCAAACCATTCGCACAATCAGTGTTGCAATCGTTGTTCGCGACCTCTCATTGGACAACACCTCTCAGAAGCAGCCAATCGTACGACAGTTACACACTCTCTCGTCTGCCATATATCAGAGTCACGTGACTTATAGACACCCACACAGGGGGAGGGTTTGGGGGTTGTGTTGAGTAGAGGTGTTGACAGTAGGGATGCACTCTTCAAATGTCTATGCAGTTGTGTTGACCCGACCTCTGGGGTGACCCCTGAGCCCACGCCTGCCCTCCTGTGCCCCCGTCTGCCCCCCAATACACGAATGTCTCGATATATGCATTGTCTGAACGAATGGTGTCTTCCGTACAGATGTGTCGGCCGTCGACCAGAGGTTACCGACGAAACGGTCGTAAGTATCGGATCAGCGATTCGTTGGACGCGAAGTATGCGTCCATTTATTGTCCGAAACACGGCTTCAAATCGATTGACTCCCAATTGGATCGCTTCCGACGCCTCGAGTCCATCGAGCAATACCTCAACGAACGGATCCGTCGCGCGAACCCAGACCTCAACGACCCGATGATGGCCTCCGACGCCAGCGATGACTACGAAGACATCGACGACAACGACATGGAGTACGAGTTGGAGTTGAATGCGAGACACAATCCGCACAATCGGTGCAATAGTTACGGCCCGAGCGATGGCCACCACTCGGACGGCCAGCACTCGATGGGTCGTCTCTCGCCGGACGCCGGCTTCGTTGCCAAACTGTTCAACTGTTGCCTTCAGTTCTGGTATTGTCTGAGTGTTAACCAAACCTATAAGGAAGCGATGAGAAGACGCCGTGTGAGAGGTCAGGGCCTGACGGCCGCCAACAGTGTGTCTCTGATCGACAAAACCGCTCGTATTTTATTCCCATTCGTTTGGATTCTATTGAATCTCTTTTATTGGGTTTTCCTCATCATTGAGAGGAACAGCGAGTTTAAGATGTGGTCTAATTATTGACCACAAACTACACGAATCCACACTTTCTCTTCATTTGCTCATTATTTTACAAATTGTGTTCAAGTTTTGTAGTTTTGTCTCAAATCTAAGTTATTGTTTGCTCTCTATTTTGCGGTCAAAAAGTTTTATTCAATTTTCTCGTAAATATTTTTTGTTTAAATTTCTTGTTTTAGACTTTTGTGAGCAAAAAGAGAAACTAAAGAAATGACAAACAATTGAATTTTATTTTATCTTTTTTTGTGTTCAATATATTCTGTCGATTATTTTGGGGCAAATATTATTGCATTTCAAATACTGTATTACAATATTATCGCACAAATAATGCGAGAAAAGTGTCTAAAATAAAGGACTTTAACGGGATTTCAAAGGTATTGATGCCTGAGTTTAAGCATCTCTTCTCATATGAAGTAAATCTTATTTTCCAAAAATAAGTCAAATATATTTGTGAAGCAAATCGTTGCTGACATTCAACTGGAAATGAAACTAAACTCTTATTTAACTTATAATATATTAAATTATTTGTTGAAAAATTATATATAAAATCGCTAATTTACCAAAAAATGAAATACCTTTCACTAGAGTCTTACAAATCAATCATTTTTTATTACACATAATATTGCATTTGTATGAAAATTTATTGTTACTTATTTCGTGATCATTTGCAGTCAATTTACAGGATTCATAT